ACAGGAATGCAGATCTAACTGAACTGCAAAACGTGGTACTGAACAGAGATTAATCCTTGATCACAATAAAATTATCAAGGGTGACAAAAGTTTCGTAAAATACAATCAGTTATTCTGAATTTTACTTCTCTAACACCTGTGTTTTGCTTGATGGTTTCTTCTAACTGCTGACTAAAGCTGACCCTGCCTGACACAGGTTACAAAGTGACACTCAAACTGGATTTGTACAGCCGTTTGCAATCACTCAGAAAAAACCAAATAGTACCAGCAGGTCCTAAGACAAGCAATGAAATGTTGTTAAGACAAAGCCACACAATGGTAAATAGCTACCTGGACTCTGGCCAGTACCTGCATATTGTCCTCTCCTAATACCGAACAGTTTAAAAAGTACAGTTAAGCCCCAAGAACAAGCAGTAAAGCACAACTTATGACCACAGCTAAATCCTGGAATTTTCACTTGCCCCAGGTACAAGACAATCCTCCACTAAATATTTAACAACTAATCTCTTTCCAATGCAAACAATTATTTTATGTAATTCACTGTAATTTTGATTTCATATTACAATATAAGCAGATCAGCTGAAGAGATCTCATCTCCTATCAACTCATGCTGTTGGTTTACTTCAAAAGAAGTCAGGAAAGACATGGATACTATTATTCTTAATGGCCAGAGTTGTTTGGTATGTGCAAACTGCTATTGTTGAAAAATAGGGTGAATTATCTCTTTTTTAAAAGCATGCACATTAATTTTTATTGTGTTCCACCCACCCAGAAAGCGAAACAATATGCTAATAATTGATATTTGTTCTTCTGAGAAATTAAGTTACAACAAAAAGATATTTTGTTGCAAGTTTCTTTTGCTTTTTCCTAAACTGTTCTACCTACCAGTTTGTGACTTTTACTAGAACAGTAGATCACTAAAAACATATACACTGAGATACAAACTATGAAATATTTTCTCTTCTGTGGGAGAGAATGTACAATACTTTTATGGACGGTTCAAAGTTTTCAAAATCACTCTAGTCTTTCCTTTTCTTAAGAGGCAGAATATGAGTAAGAATCTGTGGGTTAACAGAGAACAGCCAGAAAACCTCACTGCCAGGAACATCATGAATTACTGCTCTGTAATACAGAAAGCCAATAAAGTCATTGCTACACACACACATCATTCCAAACTGATGTCATCAGCAAATTTAGCAACAAAGCAACTTCTCCAATTGACAACTCATTATCCTGTGAAGGGAGATGCCTAACTCTAAATAAGAGTTTGGAAACAGAGAGTCTAACAGTCAAAAACCAGTTACGTGAATCAGTGCTATTCCTGGGATTAGTGCTATGTATTACAGGCAAATTCCTCTGAACAAAGCTGAAGCAGAATCTAAGCTCTTGTTTACTTGCAGGGAAGGAAATTCCAACTGAATATAAGGGTGAAAAAAAGTCACAATGAGGGTGTTTAAGCACTGAAATAATTTACTACGAAAGGCTGTAGAATCTGCATTCTTGAAGATCCTCAGAACTTTGAGTTCTGCTTTGAGTAGGAGACTCAACTTTTTTATTCTGTACATACAAACCATAGTTGTACATTACTATTACATTCTTCAGCATGCAGGAATGTGTCATCCATCTAGGTGTTTTATTTTTGGTGTTAAACAATATCCCCCCTGCAGGACTACATAAACATTTTTGCTGTTTAAATCCAATAACCACCGAAATGTTCCAAA